TGAAAAATCTACGGTAGTTTTTCACTTTAACGAAAAACCATATTTTTACACTAAAAAGTCAAACCTGGTACTATTCACTTTACTCTTTATTTTGTCCTTATCATTCAACTCAAAGTTTTCAAACATTTTTCATTAGTTTTCCTTAATAATATTTCATATAGTGGTGAAAAGTGAAACACAACCAGTATTTAATTTATTTATGGAAGTGTATTTTGACATTCCATTTTTTAGTGTCAATTACATGTTTTTTCTCTGGTTTTTTTTTTTATAACTAAAATGGTCTCTAAGATTGTCGTAAGTCTTCATTTTCTTTTCTGAGATTCAAAACCGATAGAAGTGGTCTTTAAGATTTTCCACCGTCAATTATTTTGGTTTTTTAGTGAAAAATCTTTGTTAAATTGAAGAAACCACCAATTTAAGAGGAGGGATTGATTTGACAAAAATACACTCAATTTAACAAAGATATCTCATGGAACGGTAGAGAACCACTTCTATCGATTTTAAATATCAAAGATGAAAGTGAGGGAATTATGTCAATTCTTAAGCCGAAAGACTTCCTCTTTTAATTTTAAATCTTTAAATGATAAATGTATTAAATAAAAAGATAAAGATAAATAGTAAACGTCACATAATATTTTGATCGACCTTTGTGCTTGCATATGCAGCAAAAGCAAAGGGGACTCAAGGGAATGGACAGCCTCGACAGTGACTCAGAGTAGCCACCTTATTATTTTATTCCCGAAAATTGTATAATTATTCAAAAAAATTACAGAAAAGAGAAGAAAATAAGTGTGAGACTTAAAGAGCCCCCAAGTCTCCGAAAATCAAGCACTGTTACCTGGGTTAGGGTGTGAGGGCCCACTCACCGGCCTTTTCCTAGTCCACTGCCCTTGCTTTGTAGGACACAGTGTTCCTGCCGTCGATGTTGATGATGATGGTTTTATCATTTTGATGATCAACGGCGGAGATGTTCTTGGTCAATCAGGGGTAGTTGTGAGATTTTGGACTTTGGGGTGGCGGCATTTTGGGTCAATAGAGGTCACCAACTGAGAAAATAAGAAGCAAGCGTATGCACGGGGCTAATTAAAGGGCAGCTTTCAGCCTTATGACTCGGTCTGAGTCGTTGGACTCTGGACGCCACCCAACTCCGGCGATTAGATAAAATTAATATTGACTAGAATTTTCTTTTTCTTTCCCAATAATGTTTTTTATTTTTATTTTATTTAAATTTATTGCTTTCTGGCATCGATTAATTATGGGTAAATTACATAGTAACCCCTCAGGTTTGAAGTCTATTACAACTCCATACAACATCTTTAAAATATTTTACTTTCATACATCATGTACCATTTTATTTCAAAATAATACCTCCGTTAGATTTTCCGTCCATTGATCCGTTAAGTGCTGACGTGGTTGCCACATTTGTACCACGTGGCAAAAAAAATTAATTTTTTAATTTTTTTTTTAAATCTGAATCTTCTAAATTAAAAAAAAAAGGTTAGAAAATCCAAAATCCCATCACCCCACCCACCCCGCCACCCCATACCTGCACCTTTGAAGGAAAAAAAAAAAACCAGAGAACAACCCCATATCCCATACCCCCCCCCCCGAAAGCCATACCCCATACGACCACCCCTCAACCCAGATCCCATTACCACCCCCCGGCGCGAAACCCATATCCCCCCCGAACCGCAAGGACCTCCATGAGGAGCAGAGAGATCGGAGAGAGAGCTCTGCGGTGGTGATGGGGAAAGGGCGGCGTTGATCTGTGAAGATAGAAGGAAGAGGAGGTGAAGAGAGGTGGGCCGCGGGTCGCGGCGGGGTGGGGGTGGGGGGAAGGGTTCTGGGCTTTTTTTTTTCCCTCTTCTTCTTCTTCTTCTAGATTGCAGGTTTTTTGCGGGTGGGGGACGAACTGGGTTTGAGGTTTTTTTTTCTTCTTCTTCCTCCCTCTTCTTCTTCTTCTTCTTGTTCCAGGTTTTTGGGTTCTGGGTTAGGTGGGTAGTCAGGGAGGGAGGGTGTCCTTTCCAGATCCGGTTTTTGTGTGGGGGGGGGGTTGGGACTTTTCTAGAATCCGGTTTTGGGGGGGGGGACTTTTCTGGGTTTGGATGATTGGATTTGTTGGTTTTTTGGTTTGTGGGGTTACGGGGTTTGGGGGGGGACTTTTCTGGGTTTGGATTGGATTCGTTGGTTTTTTGGTTTGTGGGGTTACGGGGGTGGGGTTTTCTTTCAACTTTTGATTTTGATTTTGAATTTGGTATAGGCGAAAGAGAGATGAGATTTTTGTGCGGGAGAGGAGAAGTGTTGCAGCCGGCGACGTGGTGTGGTTAACAGGATTACACCGGAAGTGAGGAAGATGAGGGTTGGGCAGAGGTTGATGTCTGGGCAGCGAGGAAGATGAGGGACGGGATTACTCCGGCGTGATGGTGGTTGATGGGTCGGTGTAAAACTGGGTTTGGGGAAGGAAGATGAAGATTGAAGGAGGGGCTCTTTCTCCTACAGCTGGGTTTTTTAGGGTTTTGGGTGGGGTGGGGGGGAGGCCAAGAGAAGAAAGACAGTACGGAAAGGGTGGGCTGGAGAAGGAGAAAGAAGGATATGAAGTTGGGTGGAGATGAAGACGATGACTTTTAATGGTTTTTTTTTTTTAATAAGGTTAATATTATAATATTTTTAATGTATAAAAATTATTATTTTTCCACATGGCAGCCACATCAGCACAAATGTGGCAGCCACATCAGCATTTAACAGACTAGTGGATGGAAAATCTAACGGAGGTGTTATTTTGAAATAAAATGGTACTTGATGTATGAAAGTGAAATGTTTTAAAGTTGTTGTATGAGATTGTAATAGACCTCAAACCTGAGAGGCTACTATGTAATTTACCCATTAATTATTGTTGGCTACAAATATCTTTTGGTCTTTTTTCACCTTTCTGTTTGTTACTAATTCCTCATAAAACAGAAAATTTTACTATAACTTTGATGTATGTATTGCACGCCATGAGTAAAACATTGTGCTGAAGAGAATTAGAACATACTAAAAACGATGTGCGGACTTTTGATATAAATGTTTTTTGAACCAATCTTTAATAAAAATGCAAATTCTGAAAAAGTACTTCAAGTGCTTCCTACCAATTGGTGCTTCTTGCATAAAATACTTTTAAGTGTTTTTGAACTCAAAATCATTTTCTTTGAAAGTGCTTTCAATTATTTTAAAAGCACTTTTAAACGAGTAATGTTGCTCTTGCACATCAAAACACAAAAAGCGAAGGTATTTCTCAACAGTTCACTAGTGAAAAACGGTGTGGGAAAGAGAATTAGCCCCAATTCTAGTCAACCGGAGTGGAATTTGCTAACTTGTAGAATGGGCTGAGGACTTGGAATTTTTGATCCCATCGATATCCTAAAGCTCCAGCTTCTTACCAGAAGTATGTCTTACACGCCATGAGTAAAAATTGTACGGAAGAGAATTAGAGCATACTAAAAAAAATGTGAGGACTTTTGATGAAAATATTTTTAAAACTAATTCTTAATAAAAATGCAAAGTGAATTTTGAAAAAATACTTCAAGTGCTTTCTACCAGAAGTACATAACTGATACTTTTTTCAGGAAGCACTTTAAGTGCTTTTGGAACTTAAAATCATTTTTTTTAAAAGTGTTTTTCAATCAGTTTAGAAGCGTTTCCAAACGAGTGATGCTTTTATTGCACACCAAAACACGAAAAGCAAAGGTTGAGATTTAACTAAATTTCGTTTGGCCAAATCTCAACAATTCATTTGTGAAAAATGGTGCATGAAAGAGAATTAGAAGTGCTTTTGGAACTTAAAATCATTTTCTCTAAAAGTGTTTTTCAATCATTTTAAAAACGTTTCCAAGCAAGTGATGCTTTTACTGCACACCAAAACACGAAAAGCAAGGGTTAAGATTTAACTAAATTTCGTTTGGTCAAATCTCAACAATTCATTCGTGAAAAATGGTGTGGAAAAGAGAATTAGACACAAGTTTATTCAACCTGAGAGGACTTTGCTAACTTGTAGAATGGGTCGAGGACCTGGAATTTTCGACCTCATCGATTTCCTAGCAAGCTTCAACTTCGTAAAAATGGATAGGTTTAATGCTTGCTTATTCAGCCCTACTTTTCACCTCAACATTTTGCTCTTTCTCGTTTGATCAAATTTCAACGGCTACAAACAAGGCATATTTTAAAAATTATAATAAATTTAACCGTTTGATCAAATTTCAACGGTTCAAATCTCTGAACTTGATGGATTAAAAGGAAGGGATCTGAAAAGAATCCCTTTCCAATAGAAGATTTTGATCTCAAGGGATTATGATTTCTTTCCAACACTTTCGCAGTTGTTTCCGGGGTAGTTTGTTTTTTGCGTGGGAACGGTCCAACGTCTAGAACCCGAAACAAAACACTATAAGTCACGAGAAAGGAAAGTCCAAGCTCATACCGGTTGGGTCTTTTCAGAAGCCGAGGTAGGTAATGTTAAAAATCCTACATCGGCAAGAGAAAGAAAAAAAGAAAAGTAAATACTTAATGTTACTTTAACTAATACCGATATCTTTTATGTTGAAATCTTACCCCTAATAAGTTGAAGACAATATCAATATTGTTGGAAATGAACATTTGATCTATTTCTTTGATAATTTAATATGATATCAAAGTCAAACAACAGACCCGTACCCCACGTGATGGGTGGGGGTTTCCTGGCCCCGCTAGATGATGCCGGGTCCCCTGGCCTGTGTACCCACACATAATTGTTTATGTAATACAATCAATAATCATAACTCCAAAAGTCAAGAAATTGTAAACAATTCGACTACCTTTGAGGGGATACAGACTTGCTTTGGCAACCGAAGTCGAGAAAAATGTGCTGAGGATTTGGATTATCTGTGCACCATTGACTTCAATATTTGTCTTTGAGCTGATTGCTGCCTTCCTACAATTTCACTTTGCATGCTTTCAGCAACCATCGGCAGCAAAGAAATCTTCCTACAATGGGTAGCTGCTATCCAAATTTCAGTGTTGTTTACTATTTTCTCTTTCTGTTTACGGTCACTTCCTACATGCGGATGGGTGACGGACTTCCAAGCGGTGGGGACTCATGCATTGAGGAAGAGAGAGGAGCACTGCTCAGCTTCAAACAAAATGTTACTGATCCTTCGGGAAGGCTTTCTTCTTGGGTAGGACGCGACTGCTGTCAATGGAAAGGAATTTTGTGCAACAACCGCACGGGTCATGTTGCAAAGGTGGACCTTCGGAATACTTATCCATCTCCAGTATGGTCTGATCCCGAAGATCACTACGACAAGTTGGCTTATGAACGCTCTTTATTGTCGGGTAAGATAAATCCTTCTTTGCTTAGCTTGAAGCATTTAAATTACCTAGATTTGAGCGGGAACAGTTTCGAACTCCCTAAGTTCAATGGTCTGCTTGAAAATTTGAGGTGTCTCAACTTCTCCTCTGCTTTATCATCTGAGGGAGCTGAGATTCCAGAGTTTATTGGAAACTTGTCGTCTTTGGAAACACTCGATCTTTCTAATAATTATTTCGAAGAGAATGCAATTCCTAAGTCTTTTGGCCAGCTTAAGAGTTTGAATTATCTTGATATCTCCAACTCAGGTTTTGGGGGAGAAATTCCCCCTAACCTTGGAAACCTGTCAAACCTGAACCATCTTGACCTAGGGGGGAATTTCTTCTTGAAAATATCTTCCGAAAGATTGAATTGGCTTCCTCGCCTCTCCTCCTTAACATACCTCAATCTCGACTTTCTCAATCTTCGCAGCGCGGGAGCAAGTTGGCTATCTGTAGTTAACATGCTTCCTTCGCTGTTAGAGTTACATTTGTTTGAATGTGCAATTGAAAGAATTCCACTCTCAATCCAAAAGGTAAATATGACTTCACTTTTGGTACTTGATATGTCAATGAATTCTATCATTTATCCACTACCTAGCTGGTTTTCTAATCTTACTAGTCTTCGAAATCTCTATCTGAGTGGAGATTATTTCAATGGAAACTATTTCACTGGTCCGATTCCTCGAGAGTTTGCAAGCCTCGAATATCTGCAAGGCCTTGATTTTTCTGGTAATAGACTCGAAGGTCATATTCCTAAACTAAACTTTTGCAAGCTAAAGACCCTAAACTTTCAAGGAAACAAATTTGATGGGGGAATTCAAGGGCTTTTGAGTGGTTTGTTAAACTGTACAGACAGTGTATTGGAATCACTGGATTTGTCCTCTAATAAGCTGGAAGACGAGTTGCCTGACTCCCTTGGGATGCTACACAACTTGCAATATGTCAACCTTGAGTTCAACAATTTTTCGGGTAAAATCCCGGAATCTATTGGAAAGTTGTCATCCTTGAAAACTCTAAACCTCAGTTACAACAATATGATTGGACCGATTCCCGATACTTTGGGACAATTGCCTGAGCTAGTTCACCTAGATTTGTCCGGGAATTCATGGGAAGGCATTTTAACAGAATCCCATTTCGCAAATCTCACAAAATTACGATCTATTGATGTGTCTACATATCGACCTATGTTGCTCATTGTCAATCTGACTTATGAGTGGATTCCTCCCTTCAAGCTCTACACAGTTGGCATTACAAATTGCAATGTAGGTCCTAATTTTCCTGCATGGCTTCTGTTGCAAACTGAACTTTCTGATGTCACCCTTCATGGTACTGGAATCTCGGGTATCATACCAGAAGAGTGGTTCTTGAAGATATTGTCGCAGCTCAAATATTTGGATTTATCGTACAATCATCTCAGCGGAAGGCTTCCACTCCAATTGAAATGTCCAAAACTATATCATATAGATTTGAGCTATAACAGATTCGATGGTCCACTCCCACTTCTGTCCGCCAATGTTACCATCTTTAATCTTGAAAGCAATTCATTTTCGGGGCCAGTTCCTTTGAACATTGACCAATTGATGCTGACATTACAAGGATTGTATCTTTCTGATTATCAGTTGAAAGGCACAATTCCACCCTCCATTTGCAACTTGCAGAGCTTGTCAATCCTTTCTCTGAGAAATAATCAGTTATTCGGAGAATTTCCGCAAGAATGGAGTATGTGGCCCTTAATGTTGATTGTCGATGTTGGATACAACAATCTCTCAGGTAATATCCCAAGTTCAATGGGTGTCCCAAGCTCACTTCTTGTATTAAAGATGAATGACAACAATCTTGGGGGCACAATTCCTTCTTCTGTATGGCGAAATTGCACTTCTTTGAGGAGTATCAATCTTGGAGGCAACAAATTTACAGGAAACATGACTTTATGGATAGGATCAAATGCGCCCGGGTTGTTTTTCATATGATTGCGATCCAACTTATTAAGCGGACATATCTCCGACCACTTGTGCAATCTTCCGTTGCTTGACATCCTAGACCTTAGTCACAACAACTTCTCAGGGCCCATTCCAAGTGTTTGAAGAATATGATGTCTTTGGTGGAAGGTTTTTCCAATGCCACTTTACTGTGAAAGCTATATTGAGCAAACCACATTGACGTTGAAGGGAAGAGAACTCGTATATAACAAAACTCTGTTCTTGGTGAAAAGCATCGACCTTTCATCGAATAATTTAGAAGGTGAAATCCCTGAAGAAATAACAAGCCTCATAGCGTTAAGTACCTTAAACTTGTCAAGAAATCAACTAAGGGGAAACATTCCTTTGAAGATCGGAAACCTGCATTGGCTGGAAACTCTTGATCTCTCACACAATCACCTTTCGGGACAAATTCCTCAAAGTTTGTCTTCTTTAACCTCCTTATCTTACTTGAACTTGTCTTACAACAACTTGGGTGGAAGGATTCCTTCTGGGAACCAACTCCAGACGCTCGAAGATCCCTCCATTTACGAGGGCAACCTTTTACTGTGTGGAGTTCCTCCTTCAACTAAGTGCCTAGGAGATGATACTTTTACTGCTACAGATGCGAAAGACAGCAACGAAGATGGAAATTATAAGTTGTGGTTCTATGTTAGCATGGTACTGGGTTTCACCGTAGGCTTTTGGGGTGTTTGTGGTACATTGCTTGTGAAGAAGTCATGGAGGTATGCTTATTTTCGATTGTTCGATGACATCAAAGATAAGGTAATGCTAGCAATTGCAGTCAAAGTGGCTCATTTTCAAAGGAAACTTTGATTCGAGAAGAAATCTCTCAAGATTAAAATACGACAAGCCAAGTGCTAACTACCAAGTTCATGTACTACGTATTTAGTTTATCTATGACTATCATGTATGTGTAATCACTGTAATGTACTGCAAGCTACTAAATAAATCATGTTTTTCCATATTTTCCTGAAATTTCCAATAAGTATTCGAATACAAGTTCTCACATAGAAAGCAAACATCGTGACTACATTTCTTTGGCGATATTTGGGAAGAAGTATGAGAAATTACAAGAATTGTAGTGTCTGCAAGTTTGTTAGAAAGAGTAAATTAAATTTAATACTGGAACAATGCCATTGAACCATGAACCTATAGTGTGGAGAAATTGAAAGTTGAAATAAGTGGAAGACGACATAGGAAAGAGAAGAAAGTTTAAGAATATTACTCAGTTGAAAGGTCAATAGAAAGATGAGTCGAACTGGAAAATGCACACCCAGACCAACTTTAAAGAATGCACCAAAAATGTCAACTTGGCATGCAATTCCTTTCTTTTTTTTCTGTTTAGATAATTTGCACAAATTTTCCAACAAGAATACAAGTGTTCACATATAAAAAATGCAGATGCCCCCACCAAAATATTCGGTAATCTGTAGAGAAAGTGGGAAAAAGGCAGAAGAAAGAGAGGCAAGTTCATTGAATGAGAAGCACACAGGAAAATGCACACAGAAAGACCAACTTGAAAAGCGATATACTCTAAAGTGTGAGGGAAAGGTTTGAATCTGAGATACAGAGAGTTGAAATGACTACTTTATCCGACTATTAAGGCAATCCACCACGAGCAAGATTAAATTATACTTTATTCCTAAATTTCCAAACATAATAATTATTTTTTTACTACAAAGATTCTGTTATGATTAACTATTAGGGATATGCCATTTACCAAGACTTTAAATCAATAGGTCCTGATTAGTGCTAATTAAAAATGGTTACTCGTTTCTCTTTCAGAAACCCACCAACCCACCAAAGACTTTGATGCCAAAACTTCACATGGTCGACTCTTTATCTGTTTTAATCCCTATTTGCTAATCTAGTCAAATTCAGTGGACTAGCAAGTGGCAAACATGCAAGTGGATTGAACACTTGAAATCCGGCGGCTAATAATTTCGACCTCTCCTTAAAAATTCGGTTCTTATGCTCAGTAGCCATCTGCATTCTGCACCAAACAAAGCAAAGAAAACTTGATTCTTACAACAATGTATATCTTTGCAAATTTATGCAATCCCACCTATCACCTCAATATTGCTCACTGTTTTCTCCTTTTGCTTTTGGCCTCTTCATATCTACACACTACTAAAGTCTGTCTTGGTGATGCACTCCCAACTGCCAAATGCATCGACCAAGAGAGACGTGCACTTCTCGCCTTCAAAGAAGATCTCACTGATCCTTCCGGCAGGCTTTCTTCTTGGGTCGGTCACGATTGCTGCCAATGGAAAGGAATTTCGTGTAACAACAACACAGGTTATGTCGAAAAGATGAGTCTCCAGAATCCATACATATATACACTATCGGTCTTTGATGCAGCGCAAGATGAGATGGAGTACTCGTCATTGGGAGGTAAGATAAATCCTTCTTTGCTTAGCTTGAAGCATTTGAATTACTTAGATCTAAGCCGGAATGATTTTCGAGGGATTCACATTCCCGAATTCTTTGGCCAGCTTAAAAGTTTGAGGTATCTCAATCTTTCCTCAGCTTCATTTGGAGGAGAGATTCCACCTCATCTTGGTAACTTGTCACATTTGAACCATCTTGATCTCAGTGAAGAGTCTGACTACTCCTTACTTGAACTACCTTCTGAAAACTTGAATTGGCTTTCTCGTCTCTCTTCCCTAAAATTCCTCAATCTTGAAGGGTTGGACCTCAGCAACACAAGTTGGCTACGTAACGTTAACATGCTTCCCTCCCTACTTGAATTACACTTACCATCATGCCAAATCGAAAGCCTTCCACTCTCACTCAAAAACATTAGCCTCAAATCACTTCTGGTCCTTGACATGTCGTATAACGATTTGAAGCTTCCATTTCCTGATTGGTTTTTCAGTCTTGGTAGCCTCACAAAACTGGATTTAAGTGGGAACTCGTTGATTGGTCCCTTTCCCATTGAACTTGAGAGCCTCAAATCACTTGAGCACCTTCATTTATCTTTCAATGGACTTGAAGGTCGAATTCCCATGCTTGGAAATTTTTGCAGTCTAAAGACCTTAAATCTTGCTAGCAACAAATTTGATGGGGGGATTCAAGAGCTGTTCGACGGATTATCAAGTTGTCCCAATGGTAAACTCGAGTCACTAGATTTGTCTTCTAATATGCTGCAAAGCAATTTGCCTGCGTCCTTGGGGATGCTACGCAATTTGAAGTATCTCAGCCTGTACAACAATCTTATGAATGGGTCAATTCCTGAAAGTTTAGGGCAACTCTCTGAACTAGTTCACCTCGATCTGTCATTCAACCCGTGGGTAAGCATTTTAACTGAATCCCATTTCATGAACCTCACAAGATTGAAATACTTTGCATTAGGCAGAGTGGATCCATACCCAACTACCTATTCACCTCAGTTTCAATGTGTCTTATAATTGGGTACCTCCTTTCATGCTTCACAGAATCAACATTGGGTACTGTAAAGTAGGTCCTGCCTTTGGGGTATGGCTTCAATCTCAAACTGAACTAGTCTTCATCAAACTTCGGGGTACTGGGATCTCCGATTCTATACCAAAGCACTGGTTCTTGAAATTATCTTCCAAAGTCGAATATTTGGATTTATCTTACAACCAAATCACTGGAAACCTTCCATTGGAATTGAATTTTCGGAATACTCTAATTTTGGATGTGAGTAACAATCGAATTGATGGGCCATTCCCACTTTGGTCTGGTAACCACGTGATCCGCCTTGAGCTTGAAATGAATTCATTTTTCGGGCACATTCCTTCGAATTTGGACGAAAGGTTTCCAAAACTGGTGGCATTGTATCTCGCGGACAATCGTTTGAATGGTACTATTCCAAGCTCCATTTGCAACATGCAAAACTTGCTAGTCCTTTCGCTGAGAAACAATGAGTTATCAGGAGAATTTCCTCAAACATGGAGTCTGTTGCATGAGATCTTGATCATAGATGTTGCACACAACAATCTATCAGGCAAACTTCCTAGTTCGATTGGTGTCCCGGGCGCTCTTTTCATGTTGAAGCTGAACAACAACAACTTCGATGGTGAAATTCCTCTTTCCTTGCAAAATTGCACTTCTTTGAGGAATATTGATCTCGGAGATAACAAATTCACTGGAAAAATACCTTCATGGATAGGATCAGAGGTACCACTTGTCTCGATCTTACGATTGCGGTCCAATTTTTTCAGCGGAGAAGTCCCCCAACAGTTGTGCAATCTTGGCTACCTTCACATCCTAGACCTTGCACACAACAACTTTTCAGGGACTATTCCCAAGTGCTTGAATAAACTGAGTGCTCTGACGCATGGAAATTTCAGTGCGTATGATTTATATGCATATTATGACCAAGAAACATCAGTGGTGAAGGTAAGACAACTCGACTATCAGCCGCAGACTCTAATGTTCGTCAGCAGCATTGATCTTTCATCGAATAACCTCGAAGGTGAAATCCCTGAAGAAATATCCAGCCTCGCTCTACTGCGTAACTTGAACTTGTCGATGAACCAATTGAGAGGAAGCATTCCATCAAAGATTGGGAACTTGCAGTTTCTCGAAGCTCTTGATCTTTCGATCAACCACCTTTCAGGAGAGATTCCTCAAAGTATTTCACTTCCGACGTTCTTGTCTCACTTGAACTTGTCTTATAACAACTTGACCGGTAGAATTCCTTCGGGCAGCCAGCTTCAGACACTCACGGATCCATCCATTTACGAGGGTAACCCGTCACTGTGTGGGGTTCCTCCTTCAACCAAGTGTCCCGGAGATGATCACACTCCTACAAAAGACAATGATCATGAAGATGGAAATGATAAGTTTTGGTTCTACGTTAGCATAGCACTCGGATTTATCGTAGGTTTTTGGGGTGTCTGTGGCACATTAGTCGTCAAGAAAACATGGAGGTATGCTTATTTTGGATGGTTCGATGCCATTAAGGATAAGGTACTGCTGGCAATTGCAGTGCAAATGGCTCGTTGTCAAAGGAAGTTTTGATTAGAGTAGAAATATGAATGTCGTTCTTGAACTCAGAAAATTTCAAATAACTATAAGATACATGTACTGTGTGATTTTTATTTTTTGTTCTTGTGTTGGAATTTACGAATGTACTTGCACTAGATGTTTGATGAATAAGTTTGGAATATCAATTGCCAATAGCCTCTCTCTTCTCTCTTCCAAACCCTTTCCACCAAATACTAATTGGTGTGCCAAGACGTCCCCGGCCACCCATATCATTCCATAGAAAATTTCGTATTTCCTATTAGTGAATAACAAATAAGAAAGCAACAAGTGTAACAATAACTATTTTACGATGTTTCTGGTAGGCTTTCGTTTGGGTGGGCCATGATTGACTATTTTACAATGATTAATCCCTATTAGTGTGTCACGAACACAGCCTAATACACCAAAATGAAATAATACAATTGATTGGACACTCAAAATGTATCCATGTTGTATATCCTACGATTACGGTCCAACTATTCTAGTAGACATATTTCCCAACGATTTTGCAATCTTCGGCACCTTCATATCCTCGCTCGACCTTAGTCTTCATATCTTAAAGATACAGTGGAGGACATAAGATAGCACTTGCAATTGCGTTGAAGGTGGCTCGTTTCAAAAAGATTTTTTTTCTCTTGAGTTTGATAGTACTATGCCTATGTGGTGTTTTTCACTTTCTGCTTTGCGTTTTTTGTACTTGCAATCTATGATACAAATAAAGGAACTCTATCTTTCAAAAGATGTTCCCACAGACAATTATGTATTAACCTGGAATTAAATAAAAATTATAGTTTGTACTTATCAATCGCATAATAATATATGTGACCATCCAATGTTGTAATTTAACAAAACAACGATTTGTTCATAAAGTACATAAGCGCACGTATATATTCTTCTCTTTTACACTTCTAGAGAAATCAAATACCACTTGTACTTGCATCAACAATGGTTCTCTAATATCTTCGAGCAATTCGTTTGACGACATTCTTTCTTGAGGTCCGGTAGGAGCATGTCCCCTTTGCTGTCTGGTTACCATGCCTATTTTAGCTTGAATTGGTCCTGGCTTCCTTCAGGCTCTACAATGCAACGCATTAAGAGAAATCCGTCTTTCAGCAAGAGTAGACCAATTTCATCAATATGGTTTTTGACAAAACATTAAATTGATTACAAACCAGCCGTTTGAAGGATCTACTTTGAGCAGCGTTCTTTCCATCTTCCATGCCGGGTTTAGCACGATCAGGAGCCTGAGGGGAAAAAAAATATGTTGATTTTAAACATTTGTCAATGCAACCGGGTAAAACGGCAGAGAACTTATCTGCCGCACTATAATAGACTAAAGTAAAATGCTGTATTACAGAATGCAAACTAAGCTCAGACTCAACACAGTTTGTCTCCCCAGTCCCAAAAACCAATCCTCTACATTTGGCTCCGTGTCTTTGTATCATTTTGAGGCCATGAGTTTCCATTTGTGCTATTTCATTTCAGATGGGATTCATTGCAAACTAGGGATCAAACCTAAGTAAAAGAACAGCTGTGGTCGATCTCTTTGCTTGTGATACAAAATACTGATCGGTGAAGTTAACAAAACATGTGCATGTACTGAGAGAGGTGGGAGAAGGCGAGGGTGGAAGATGGGGAAAAAATTTCCATTTTTCATTCAAGATCTCTTTCCTCAGGGTAAAATCAATTTAAAAATTTTAGAACGTTGGGGTTTTAATATCGAACCACTCAATATATTATCAAGCAACCGAAGAAATAGAGATACTGTAGCTTAAACTATACTGGAAAGGAAAAATACTACCTCAATCAAAGATTCCACACGACGTCTCATCCTTGTATGCATGAAACCCTCTGAACACTGCAAAAGAATATGCACAGAAGGAGATTGAGATCAAACATATCAAATGAAGAAATACATACATATTAATCAGTGAAGACATAGTACGCTTTCAAGCAGTAATCATATTCAGCAAGTTATAGACGGACAGAGACGGACAGACAAATAAGTTGGGCAGGACAAGGACTAATAGCATGAAAAAGTTGGTCCAACATTACTAATAAATGAAGTCTAGGAAAACTGAATGACAGGCTGCAAACAAGAGTAAATCAGACAAAGCAAAAACATATACGACAAAGAAAAAAATCTGACTTCCTGCACATAAGCTACTAACTTTATACGATTTCCGGATCATACCATATCCAGTTATCAATAGAAAGTAGTACATAATTTGTTCAGTTGATGAGGACAAAAGGTGGAAGTAACAAGTTTAGGGGAAATTTCTTATCATCGCATATAGACAATATAATATCCATCATACCTTAACAACAAAGGCTCCGGTAGCAAACTTTTTCCCCAATTTCTTTGAAGCATCACTAAGTTTGACGCCTGAATTGTAATCAAAGAAACCGTGTTAATTACGGTAGGAACAAAATAAGAATCTCCAAATAGAAAGACAAATGATGTACAGTAGCAGATTGCTCACCAAAAAGCTCCAGCCCTTTCACAGTGGTGATAGAACTGCCAAGGGGGCAACATCAGATGGAGAGGGGCAAAGCAGCTGGATGCCCAGCCTTTGACACGATCTGGACGATGGAAAAAAGGTTTGGGATTTGTCTTGCATATGATTCTCTACATTAATATGAATTCAGGACCAGCCTTGAGGGAGTGCAAAGTGTGCGATCGCATAGAGCTCCCGATTCCAAAATTCTAAAAACCTTTATATATATATATATATATATAAAGCATGATCATAATCACAATGCCTTCCTGGCAGAGTTGTCAACCGGCGGTATTGTCATTTTGTTCACGGGTTCGACTCTACACTTGCTCATGTTTATTAATTTTGATTTTTTTCCTATTGAGCATTGTCCGGTAACCATTTTGGGCCTTTTTTTTAAGCTAGACTATTTGTTTCTTTTTTGGAATATTTGTAGTTTAATTTCTTTCATTGTTTGTCCAAAAAAAAAAACATTTCTTTCATTATATAACATAACTTTTACGAATAAATCTGCAATTAGTAATATCATAATAAATTAAAATTCTTAAAAGTTTAAAAATATAATCTTTAAAAGCCCCTTCCTTATATGACACCATTTAATAGAATACATTTAATAATAAGAATCGTTTATTCTTTGATCTCTGTTTAAAAGTTATCAAATTATAAGTTTCATCCATTTGAAGACTTTAGTCATCTATATATCAAAAGAAAATTATAATACAATTTTGCTCACACCTCCCGTTAGAGACACGAATCTCGAATCTCAAATTTTCAACTAATCCAACAACAACCAACCAAGAGGTGAGGGGTGCGGAGGTGGGGGGTGTGAGAATAATCCTTGCTTTAAAGCGTGAGCAAAAATGCAATAAAAATTAACATTTCATTGTAAGCTATCGATATCATAATCGGTGATTCATTTAACACAAATTTTTCATGAGATGAACTCTAGATGCTAATAAAGATCATTAATGGTTATGAATATGGTATTTTGTACGGTGATACAAAAACTACATAGCCATCACTCCATGCTTTTTGTATTTAAAAATTAAGGAGTTTTGAACAAAAATACAGAGGATTTCAGGATAGGTGCATACCACCACATTATGCTTCATGTTGTTTTTTTATTTATATCAATTTAATCCACAATTAAAAAAATACAAACTATAAAAGAAAATGTAGCAATCAAAATTTTAAACCATATAAGGTCCCGTTTGAGTCTCGCACAGAACCTCCAAAATCTCAAGACCGGCCCTGAATATGACTCATCACATGATTCATCCCAAATTTTATCCGATGCATTTGGAGGCAGAGCCCAAGTTTTCATTTGACGCTCGGCTTTGCTTTTATGGATGCAGCTGTGCATTCAGACTTTATCGAGGGCCTTTGAAAGTAGGGCGAGATCCATTTCTAAATTGATTTGGGTTTTTGGTTTCAACAATCACCAACTCTTTATTTATTTATTTATTTTGTCTTTCTATTTTCTCTCTTTTTACCATCGAGAAGAGAATTAGCACAAGACTAGGAGGTAGTTGATAGATTCACAAGTTGATCGAAATTTCTTGAACGAGAAGAGAATTACCACTAGACTAATAGTTAGTTGTTATGCACGATGTTATTCAGCCAAAACGGAAGTAAAATAATGAAGAAAAAAAAGGCCCAAAAGAATATGCCTTTCCCCAAACAAAATGATCAGAGGTATTGGGTTTCAGCCCACTAATGGATCCACCCAGGCAAAAGCAGATGGTGGGAATCCAATGAACCTTTTGAAAGATATAAAGAAGGTTGTCAAGTTTTTTAAATCATATAAATATTTAATTATTCATGAAAAGAAGTAGAGATTGTTGTGCTTCTTGTTGTTAAGCCTCAATGTTGGAAACAATCAAAAGTTGAAGTGGTCAAAAAGAACCCCATTTGGTCATCAAGCATGAAAGCAGCAGGCCACTATTCTGGGTTGATACCATCACCTCCCTTGGATTTCAACGGTAAAAGATAATGATAAAATAAATCATAAAATAATTACTTAAAAAGAGAAGGAAAATTTTATTTCTTTTTTACTGAAGCGATATTTTAATCTAATCAAAATGAGTAATACACTCTTTAACCAACGCCAATGGTAGGGAAAATTGAAAAATGATCAAAACAAACCATATAATAAAGGAAATGATTTCGACAGATCTCTTGGTCATTACATGTAAACCTTTTTTTTTTCCAATAACTGTGTTGAACAATCAAAAGATAATTAAGGACCAAAATTAAGACAGGGGCAGAAAATGAAAAACGTCGGCGACAAAGACTCCCTAATACAAAAAGGGCACGTGGATTCATTGTAAGAATGCTGCGTGGTTTCACCCCATTGGACCTAAGTAGGGATGGGCAACGATTATAGTAGGTGGGTAACTGTGATTATTTACCCATAACCGTTTACCCGTTGGATAATTGTATAAACGGTTATACATATACCCATAACCGTTTATAAACAGTTAACCATACTCATAACCGTGTATCCATTTAACCATAACCGTTTACCCATTTAACCATAATCATTTACCCGTTTATCCTTTTTTATACACATTTACCCATTTTTTCACCCATCTACATATTTTTTTTAACAACTTGAAAATTACAAAAAAAAAAAATTGTCATAATTTTCATTTTCTGACAATTAAACACCGTTATAGGTACATTTTAGGCATGCATTTCCCTATTTTAATCATTTAAGTACTCATACAATTCCAATAATTAAAAAATAGTTTACGAACGATATTTTTCTGCTACACCCAAGCAAGTTTTTAATTATAATTCATATAATTACAAAGTAAAGCTTCTAAAAACAAAAAGTAATCATTATAGTCCATATGATTATAATTCATATGGATACCCGTTATAATTGCGGGTAGTTCATTTGATCATCCTCTATTCAATGCGTTTTAAACTTCCTCTAAGTTTGAAAGACCAATTCTTTTTTACAAATACAAAGTGTTTTATTCGAACAATTCTCTGTTTCCTTCCTCTCATGAAATGTAAAACCAAAAAAGTCCAACTTAATTTCTGTTGCTAGTTCAAGAGAATATTATTGATGCAAATTAACCCTCGTAAGAATTTTTTTTTTCAGTAGAAAGAGTACCTGGTGAATCAAGACCGATGGATACCCGTTATAATCGCAGGTAATACCCATAACCGATTGATACCCGTTATAACCGCAGGTAATACTCATAAAAGCTCATTTAAATTTCACGGATAACGGTTATACCTATTACTGTTTGTTCATCTAAACGGTTACCCATAACCATAACTGTGAATTTTTAATGAACGGGTAACCGTGGTTACCCAAACCCATGACTAATGTGTCTAAGCAATATTGGAATGTCATATTCCTTACCGGAGGAATGGTTGTTGAAGTTGTCTCATCAAGTCCTTAATTTAGATTTATCTCGCAACCAAATTCGTGGAATGCTTCCACTCCAACTGGAATTTCCAAATGTACAGTCACTGGATTTGAGTTATGTTGATGCACAAAATCGGTGTGGATTTTGGTACAACAGAAAATGTCAAGTTTGTGACCTTCGCTAAATTACTCTGGTCACTAGTGTGGATAAGTATGTAAATGGATAGAAACAGGGAAGCAAACACAAGATGTACATGGTTCACCCAGATTGGCTACGTCCACAGAGTAAAAGAGTTCTCATTAATTGTGAAGGGTTTACACAAGTACATAGGTTTAAGCTCTCCTTTAGTGAGTACTAGTGAATGATTTAGTACAAATGACATTAGGAAATATTGTGGGAGAATGATCTCCTTTTATAGAAGAGAGTTTCTAGCGTTGTTCTGATATTGACACGTGTCGTGTTGTGATTGGCTTCTGATGTTGACACGTGTTGCGCTATGATTGGCCTCCTGGTTGGAGGGAAACTCTTTTGGGTCCTTGACGGTATAACGTTGACCAGTGCTTAGTAGTTTCGGGATTGGTCAAGTATGGTACAAACAAGTTATAACCAACTTGAGGGCTCACTCTCACTCTGGTCCAGCACTGGTGCCTTGGTTCTTGATCTTAGAAGCAATTTATTTTCCGGACCAATTCCCTCAGCTATGATAATTGTTCCCCTACTTGGATGAATTGTATCTTCTCGAGAATCATTTCAGTGGTAGTATTCCACCCTCCATTTGCAACATGGTAAACTTGGCAATCCTTTCGCTAAGGAGTAATCTGTTTTTCAGAGAATTCCGACATGCATGGATGGAAGAGAGTAATATAAAGGTTGTTGATGTTGCAAATAAGAATCTCTCTGGTAATATTCCTATTCATTAGGGGTCTTGAGCTCTCTTTCAATACTAAAGATGTCCAACAACACTTTCTAAGGAAAACTCCCTCGTTCCTTTTCTTGTCGTTTTTATTTGTGCCAATAATGGGTAGTTTTGTAGTAGTGCTAATGAGCATTGATCTCGGTGGCAGCAGATTGACCGGAAGCGTACCTTTGTGGAATGGATCAACTATAGCAGACTTGTTTATGCTACGATTGTGATCCAACATTTTAAACGAACATCTTCCTCGGCAAATGTGCTACCTTCCCTCCCTTCATACTCTAGACCTTGGTCACAACAATTTTTCCGGGACCATTCCCAAGTGCTTGAAAATATGACTTCTTTGGGAATCTTGAACTTGTCGATGAATCAATTAAGCAGAAAAATTCATTCAAATGTTGGAAACATGCGATCTCTCACATAACCATCTTTCGGGATAGATTCCTCAAAGTTTGTCTTCTCTAACCTTCTTGTCACATTTGAACTTGTCTTATACCAACCTGGTTGGAAAAATTTGGGCAATCAACTCCAAACACTCATTGATCCCTCCATTTACAGGGGCAATCCCTTACTTTGTGGGGTTCCTCTAGCTAAATGCCCAGGAGATGACAATGCACCAACTTTTCCTTCTGATGGTGAAGAAGGCAATGAAGATGGAAACAATGAGGATGTACTTTGGTTCTATGTAAGCATGGGACTTGGCTTTTTCGTGGGATTTTAGGGTTTTTGTGGCACGTTACTTGTCAAGAACTTGAGGAGGTATGTCTATTTTCAATTCTTCGATGATATCAGAGACAAGGCAGCTCAAGTAATTACATCGAAATTGGCTTGTGGAAAATGA